TCCAAGTAATTGTGATTATTTAAGAACGAAATAAAAATATTATTTTTCTTCCAATTTAAATGTATTATTTTTCTTTCCAAATGGCTACTAAGTTGATAGAACATAAATATTGAAGTGGTTTGGACGTAACTACTTAAAAAAAGCAATTGCTGGGTATTTCTTTTTGCCCAGGGGCACCATGAAAAAATTACTGAGACGCTGAGGGTGCAGTGAAATAAGACAGTTGAGGAACCTCTGCACTATAGCATTGCCTGCAACAGAAAAACATTGAAACAACTTAAGTATTTATCAATAGGATTCTAGTTAAATTATGGTATCCATACAATAGACTATTATGCAGCCATTAAGGAGAATGAAGCAGCTTTTTGTGTTCTAAAATGACATTTCTCCAAGATACAATGTTACTGGAAACAAAAAACAAAACAAGGTATAGAATAGTGTGTATAGTTTTCAATTATGTGTGTTATTGAAAAAGGAAAAAAAAATATATATGAAAAAACTTGTAACAGAGTTTACCTCCTGGGTGAGAGATCTGTACAGCTGGGAGGGGTGGGAAGAAAACTTAGATTTCATAGTAGATTAAAAAAAAAAAATTTGTACAGTGTACATGTATTAAAACCCAAAAAACCCATTGCTGTCAAGTTGTTTCCGACTCATAGCAATCCTGTAGGACAGAGCAAAACTGCCCCCATAGGGTTTCCAAGCTTGTAATCTTTACAGGAGCAGACTGCCACATCTTTCTCCTACAGAACTGGCTGGTGGGTTAGAACTGCCGACCTTTTGGTTGGCAGCTGAGTGCTTTAACCACTGTGCCACCAGGGCTCCTTATACGTGTATTATCGGTTCAAAAATACAAGTAAGCTAGGTTAAGACAGAAAGGGAATAAGAGGAAAATTTTCAATCCTTCTCCCATTTATGAAGAAAGGATTCTAGGAAGAAAAAGGGTATCACATCTGGAGTTTCCTAGGGAGAATGACAACAAAAAATAACTTTAATGTAGTCACAGGAAAGGTAACCTTGGAAAAATCATTATTCAGAAAATCTTAAATTAGAAAAAAATATAAGGCATGATTAGGACAACAAAAAGAAATTAAAGGAATGAAAAATTAATAAAGCTGAAATAAGCAATGGCTGACATCACTGATATAAACACCATGGGTCATTTTAATTCAGTAGAAAAATATGATGGCCCTGCTATTTCAGGACCAAAGAAAAGAAATGTTAACAAAGAGTAAGCATCTTTGGAAGAGAGGGAGCTTATTTTTAATTCTTTATACCAAGAAGAACATATGTTTCAACACAAAGGTCCAAAGCAGTCAGCTGTTAAGTGAAAAAGAGAAGCCTGAGAGCTTAGAGGGAATAAAAACACATTAAGAACAAAGGTAAAAAGAAGGGTAAAGAAGAACCTTGAAAAGAAACTATAGGACTACTTAATAAAAAATAGTTAACAACCATATGTGGTAAAAACAGGTCAGGAACTGTCTAGCCCAAACCAACACCTTCACCTTTTCACCCCCATATCGTGTATTTAGAACCCTGGACAAATAAGCCTCCCAAATCCTCCCACAACTGATTTTCTGAACCATTCGACTTGTCGCACATTCTATGTCTTGCTGTATTTCTAATCTTTCCAGTTTTGACCTTACGATTTTTTTTTCCAACTCTGGCTTTGTCTCACCTACCAACTTCGTGCTTAGCTTTGAGTGTCTGACCAAGATTTAGACATTCCTATGGCAGTACTGAATTTGGTCACTTCATCCACGTTCAGCACAGCCCAGGGTGCCGCATCTCACTGCATGCCTTTCTTTACAGGTATGTTGCAGGGGAGGGGGCGGGACTAGACAGAACAGGGAAAGTCTCGGTTCTGCTTCTGTGTATCCTTCTTTTTCTCAGGTGTATCTTTCAAAGCCAAAGGAGCCCTGGTGGTGCAACGGTTAAGTGCTCGGCTGCTTACCAAAGGGTTGGCGGTTCAAACCCACCCAAAGGGCTCCATAGGAGAAAGACCAGACGATCTTCTTCCATAAAGATTATTGTTGTTGTGAGGTGCTGGTGAGTCAGCTCCAACTCATAGTGACCCTACGTACAAAAGAATGAAACACTGCCCAGCCCTGCGCCATCCTCACAATTGTTGTGTTTGAGCTCATTGTTGCTGCCACTGTGTCAATCTATCTCGTCGAGGGTCTATCTCTTTTAAACTGACCCTCTACCTTACCAAGCATGATGTGCTTCTCCAAGGACTAGTTCCTCCTGATAATATGTAATCTGTAAAGATTACAGCCTAGAAAATCCTAGACACGGGGTTGCTCTAAGTCAGAATCGACTTGACGGCACCCAACAACAACATCCTTCAAGGCTTAGCTTAAGTAAGAAAGACTCTGTCGTTTATTTAGACTCACTAATGACTAGTGGTTAAGCATTTGGCCTACTAACCAAAAGGTTGACAGTTTGAATTCACCAGTCACTCCTTGGAAACCCTATGGGACAGTTCTACTCTGTCCTATAGGGTCGCTATGAATCGGAATTGACTCGACGGCAACAGGTATAAGTTTCAGTTTTAATGACCAGACGAGCTTCACAATAAGAAAGAATCTTTAAATGTAATGCGAAAGCATACGATATCAAGTGCTGTCAAAATCCCCTAATTCTATTGCAGTGTGCCATCTGATTCAGTTGGCTATATCCATATATGTGTGCCTATGTGTGTGTTTATTTATTTCTTTAATTTATTCTCTCCTCTCTCCCCCTCCGTGTGTGAGAAAAAACCATGTGGTTCTGTCACAAAATGTTCTAGAAGCCATAGAAATTGCAGTATTATTTTTCTGGAAAAATTCCCAAAAGAGGGAAAAAGCATCTGCTCCCTACATTTGTTATGCAAAACGGAGAGTGGGATATGGAGGCAAAAGAATGAAATGGGTCCTCTATTTTCCCTTTGATAGGGATTCTGGGATAAAGCATCGATTCTGAGCTATCTCAGAGTTAAGCAATATGGATGGGGACTACAATGTTGTATGTGTGCCATGCCTGCCCTGGGCAGGGCAATCCCCTGCCACCTACATCCTAATATCACTTCCACAGTAGCATGTGAGTGGTATGGTGAATCAGACTGACCTAGCTCTTTTGCTTATTAGGTAACCTTGGGCAAGTCATTTAAGCATTTTTCCACCTGTAAAATAGGGACCAAACTAAAATCCCCTTGCCATCAAGTCAATTCCAACTCATAGCGACCCTACAGGACAGAGTAGAACTGCCCCATAGGGTTTCCAAGGAGCGGCTGGTAGATTCAAACTGCCGACCTTTTGGTTAGCAGCTGAGCTCTTAATCACTGAGCCACCAGGGCTCCAAAACAGGGACAGTAGTATCAATTTATTATTTAGAGTAGTAGAGCTCTGATTTATTTACTTATTGTGTGTAAGTTTTATGGCAGAGGAAACACACTAAGAATAAACTTGGTAGACAAGTAGAAAACAAGGTTACGTTTCCTACATATCTAAGTCATGGAAATGACATCATTTCCTCCTGAGCTGGCATTACCTCTCCAAACTCACCCCACACTATTCTCCCTCCACTAGCCTTCTGGATGATTCTTGAACACCCTAAACTTGTCTCTCTTTAGGGTCTTTACATCAACTGCTTCCTCTGCCTGGAACACTCCCAGGGCTAACTCCTGGCTTCATGTCACTTCCCACTGAGGCCTACTTTGGCCACTCTATTACTGTGACTTGTAATCCCATCCCCACCCAGCATTCCCAATCCCCCTTATTCTGCTCTTTTTTTCCCCCTTTTTCCCATGTTGTTATTGGCTTCTGATATTTTCAGTTATTTACTTATTGCATTATTTATTATCTGCCTCCCTCCATGCTAGAACATAAGCTCCACAAGGACAGGGGTCTTCACCTGTTTTGTTCCCTGACGTAGCTCAAGCATCTAGACTAGTACCTAGTTCACAGTAGGTGCTCAACAAAGATTTTTTTTTAATCCATAATTTATTTTTTAAATTAATGACTTTCTTATTACAGAAGCTGTACATGTGCATTGTAGAAAATAAGAAAAAATAAAAATTTCAAATTCTCACCACTAAATAGTATCTCCCAAATTATTATCAGCCAGAGCGGTTTGTATCTTCTCTCAAGTAACTAACTAAGAAGTCCCATCTTATAGGATTGGTGCATGGATTAAATGAAACAACGTATCTAAAATATTCAGTAGAACGCTTGCTGCTTAACCAGTTGCCATCAAGTTGATTCCAACTCATGGTGATCCATGTGTGTCAGTGTAGAACAGTGTTCCATAGGGTTTTCAACGGCTGATTGTTTGGAAGTAGATCACCAGGCCTTTCTTCCAAGATGCCTCTGGGTGGATTCCAACTACCAACCTTTCAGTTAGCAGCTAAGCATGTTGATCGTTTGCATTACCCAGGGACTCAGTTAGAAACTACTACCTGTAGTTGTTATTTTCTTTGCTTTGTCCTTATCTTTAACTTCCATCACTTCCCCCAATTTCCTAAAGAGAAAGTAGCAGATGTCTGTAGCTGAAAGAATAGTATGATACTGCTCTGGACAGGGACAGGTAGGAAATGTCTCCTACCCCCAGCACTCAAAAGACGAAGTCCCCAAACTGACAGTACTCTATAGTCCAACACACCACAAGACCCAAGGCCACTAACTATTCTGTATAATTTTATAACAACAACAAAACAATATCAATAATGATGACATTTTTATTTAACACTCCACCATTTACAAAGCCTTTTCATATATAACATTCTTTTGTAGATGAGAAGGCTGAGAATTTAAGTGATTTGCCCAAGTGTACTCAGCTGGTAAGTAGAAGAGCTGGAAATTAAATCTAGAATTGGAAGATCGTCAGTGGCATGGATCTTTTAATATGAAATTTAGTGAAATACATACTAACCATTTCTAGAGTCCCAGTCGCGATCAATGAAATACTCTTTAGTACTTTCTCCATAAACTGTGGGGACACCCTCTAGACAAATGACTTACCTATCTTAAGAGCCACACGTCCTTTTCTTGCTGGATAGCTCCCCACCAAAATTTTCTTCTGGTAAAAAGGAGAATTCACCTTCAGTGGCAAGTGTGTCAGGAAATGGGGTACATTGTTGAGAAAGCCTGTGCCTCTCTGCTCTTTTGAACTGTTGAGAAAAAACAAAACATCAAGAAATTATGTCTTCCCTCATCTCTAGGGAAGTCTTTACAATGAATGTCTTTTCCATTCCTTGGCAGAAGCCAGTACAAAGAGGTGTTTTTGTTTTTTGCTGAGGTTTCCAATTAGGTTTAGTAATATTAAATTTGCATTCCTTAGTTTAAATTTCCTCTAGGGTTTTAAAACCATTGATTGTAAACTGTTTCCACTTTTGAAAGGACCAAAAGAATTATATCCATAAATACTGAGACTCCTATCCTTCTCACATTTATTCTTCAAGGCAGGTTAGCAAAACTTCAAGGAGCTAGAAGACACAAATTCAAACTAGCAGAGAAGTGAAGGCAGTAATCATTAGATTATTTCCTTCCCCAGAGGTAGTGAAGGCACCTTTTTATTCAAATACAAATCACAGAGTTCACTAGATTGATGGGGCTCACTTTAGGCAGGGCATGCACAGTCCCTTCTAAACCTGTCTGAATGAAAACTGTAACACGATGACCGTAGATTTTAACAGGACTGGAGGTGGGAAATATCCAAGAAACAATCCTAGATTCAAATATGCCCTTTGCAAAGCTTAGTGAAACAAGATAACATTTTGGGGTAACAATGCAAGAAGAAACCACTCTAAGCCTTGGAATGTCAATGGGTTTCTGGCTTTTATGAGGAGTTCACTCCAACAGGAGCTTAGGATTCCCAGTTCTACCATAAGGGACTAGCTTGTATCAAACCAGCTTCTCACTGAGCACCACTAGAAAAGCTGGTAAAAATTATTTTTAAAACCTGTTTAAAGGCACTGGAGGACTACCAAGGCAGTCAGGCCAAGATCCTAGGGAAAATGAAAATAAAATTATGACAAGTCAAATATTTTGTACCATTCATGGACTCCAGTTTATCTATAACAAATCAGCCAGCACTTAAACGTATATGCTTAGGCAGTAAAACTATTTTTAAAAGCAAGAAAATTATTATTATAAAACAAGGATAGTGGTTACCTTTGGGGTAACGGAGGAGGTAAGGGCTGAAAGGGGACACGAGGGAGATAGTTTCTGGTTGTTTACTTTGTGATAAATCATTAATATCTACTTATTTGTTCTGTACAGAGTCTTTGGGTGGTGTAAATGGTTAATGTACTCTGCTAACTGAAAGGTGGAGGTTCAAGTCCACCCAGAGGTGCCTTGGAAGAAAGTCTTGGTGATCTACTTCCAAAAAATCAGCCATTGAAAGCCCTATGGAGCACAGTTCTATCTATTCTGACACACATGGGGTCACCATGAGTTGGAATCCACTGGATGGTAACTTTTCTTTTTTTTTTATATTATACTTCAGGTGAAGGCTTACAGAACAAATAGTTTCTCATGAAAGAGTAGTACACATATTGTTTTATGACATTGGTTAACAACCCCACAACATGTAGCTTTTTTTTTTTTTTTTTTTTTACTGGGGAGAAGCCTGCCTCCAATTACCATCTGAGAACATAAAATGATGTTAAAGAGCAATTGTACATCTGTTGTTGTCAGGTGCTGTCGAGTCGGTTCTGACTCTTAGCAATCCCAGGACAGGGTAGAACTGCCCCATAGGGTTTCCAAGGAGCAGCTGGTGGATTTGAACTGCTGACCTTTTGGTTAGCAGCCAAGCTCTTAACCGCTATGCAACCAGGGCTCCTGTTGTACTTCTACACAACATAAAACGCTATATAATAAAGACTCAGAGCACCTACTCAGAACAAATTCATTGTTATATAAGTGAGCATAACATCATAATGTTAATGCACCTATACTTGATAAAGCTCAGACGGAGCTTGCAGAGGTGTGTCCCTGCAGTGTTCTGCTTTGGGACATGTTTAGAGAAGCTTTTTGCTGGAACTGTGAGGAGCAGTTCTCATGGGAACCCTCAGAATATCACAATGCTGATTCTTCTCACCCTTAATGTATCCTTTTATGTCAAATAAACCACGTTAGACAGAGATCTTCAGAATTGATTTTTGATCTGCATCACTAACAAGGTAACAGAGGATTAACAATATTTGATTAATCTAAAATAAGAGAGGGAAAAGGAACAATGAACAAACTGGACAAATAGAAAATAAATAGTAAGAAGCTATATTTAAACCTAAGTATATTGGTAATACGTTAAATGTAAGTGGATTAAATACTCTAATTCAAAGACAAAAATTATCAGACTAGATTAAAAAACAAAACTCACACCTATATGGGATCAAACGGTCAGCAATTACTTTGAAACAGAGATGGAATGTAAGTAAGGGGGCAGGGAAACTAGATTAATGGAAACAGAACAACCAGACAAAAATAATGAGAATGTACACATATCGTGAAAAATGTAACCAATGTCACTGAATAATTTGTGTAGAGATTGTTGAATGGGAACCTAAACTGCTGTGCAAACCTTCACCTAAAACACAATAAAATATTATTTAAAACACATACACACACACACAAATATACTCAAATATAAAGACACAGGAAAGTTGGGAAAAGGTGCCAAAAGAAAGGTAGGGTAGCTAAAATAACATCAGACAAAACAGACTTTAAGACAAGAAGCAATACTACAGACAAATAGGATCATTTCTTAAAGATAAAAGGGTCAATCCACTATGAAGAATTAGCAATTCTATACTTGTTCATACATAATAACATAGCTTCTAATTATATAAAGCAAAAATTGTCAAAACTAAAAGCAGAATAGGCACATCTATAATCATAGTGGGAGATTTTAACATACATCTCTCAGTAACTAATAAAACAAACAGAAAAAATTCAGTAATGATACAAAAGATTTGAACAACACTTAACAAACTCAACCTTAGTGACCTATATAGAACACTTAGTGACAACTGCACACCACATATTCTTTTAAGGTCCACATGAAACATTTACAGAAATTAACCATATGTGGGCAATAAAAAAACCAAACCAAACCCATTGCCACTGAGTCGATGCCAACTCATAGCGACCCTATAATAAACTACGCTTCAATGGACAGAAATTTCAATGGATAGATATTGTCTAGACGACTTTAAAACGTTCTATTTTGAAATAACTGTAGATTCACTGGAAGTTGCAAAAATAATACAGTAGTATACTTTTTAAAAAGTGGTAAAGTTTAAGATCAGTGTAAGTGTACAATTTGATATATTTTGATAAAGGTATTAAACTGTGCGACCACCAACAAAATTAAAAAATAGAGCATTTCCATCACTCCAGAAAGTTCGTTCACGCTCTCAGTCAAATCCCCACAGCAAAGACAACTGTTCTTCTCATTTCTATCACCATAGTTAGTACTGCCTGTTCTTGAACGTCATATAAATGGGCTCATGTAGTATGTACTCTTTTGTGTCTGGCTTTTTTCACTCAGCATAATCTGTGAGATTCATCCACACTTGAGTGTATCAGTAGTTTGTTCCTTTTTATTTCTGAGTAAGAGTTCATTATATGAAAATATCATAATTATTTATGCATTCTCCTAAGGTTAAATATTTGGTTGCTTCCATTTTAGGACTATTAAGAATAAAGCTGCTATTAATATTCTCGTACAAGTCTTTTTGTGAACATGTATTTTTACTTCTCTTGGATAAATACCTAGGAGAGGAACTTCTAAGTTATAGGGTAAATGTATGTTTAACTTTATACAAAACTGCTAAACAGTTTTCCAGGTTGGTTGCACCATTTTATACTCTCTTTAATAACATATGAAGAGTTCCAGTTTACATAGTCTTATCAACACTTGGTGTTGACAGGCTTTTAATTTTAGCCATTCTAGTGTGAGGTTTTGATTTGCATTTCCCTAGTGGTGAATAATCATGACTTTTTGTGTATGTTCTTTTGTGAAGTGTCTGTTCAAGACTTTTGTCCATTTTAAAACTGGAGTTTTTATTATTGATTTATAGGAGTTCTTTATATATTCTGATACAAGTCCTTTATCAGATATATATGTTGTTGTTGTCAGGTGCCATCAAGTCGGTTCCAACTCATAGCAACCTCATGCACTACAGAACGAAACACTGCCTGGTCCTGTGCCAGGCTCACAATCATTGTTATGCTTGAGCCCATTGTTGCAGCCACTGTGTTAATCCATCTTGTTGAGGGTCTTCCTCTTTTTTGCTGATGCTGTACTTTACCAAGCATGATGTCCTTCTCCAGGGACTGATCCCTCCTGACAACATGTCCAAAGTATGTAAGACATAGTCTCGCCATCCTTGCTTCTAAGGAGCATTCTGGCTGTACTTTTTCCAAGACAGACCTGTTCGTTCTTTTGAAAGTCCATGGTATATTCAATACTCTTCACCAACACCACAATTCAAAGGCGTCAATTCTTCTTCAGTCTTCCTTATTCACTGTCCAGCTTTCGCAGGTATACAATATGATTGAAAATACCATGGCGTGGGTCAGGAGCACCATAGTCTTGAAGGTGACATCTTTGCTTTTCAGTGCTTTAAAGAGGTCTTTTGCAGCAGATTTGCCCAATGCAACGCGTCTTTTGATTTCTTGACTGCTGCTTCCATGGGTATTGATTGTGGATCCAAGTAAAATGAAATCCTCCACAACTTCAATCTTTTCTCCATTTATCATGACGTTGCTTATTGGTCTAGTTGTGAGGATTTTTGTTTTCTTTATGTTCAGGTGTGATCCACACTGAAGGCTGTAGTCTTTGATCTTCATCAGTAAAGTAAGTGCTTCAAGTCCTCTTCACTTTCAGCAAGTAAGGTTGTGTCATCTGCATAACGCAGGTTGTTAATGGGTCTTCCTTCAATCCTGATGCCCCGTTCTTCATAAGCACAATCATAAGAACGGGGCATCAGGATTGGAGGATGCCCAGATATATGTACGGCATATATTTTATCCCAGTCTGTGGCTTTGCCTTTTCAATTTCTAACAGTGTCTTTTGATGGGCAGAAGTTTTTAATTTTGATGAAGGCCAATTTATCAATTTCTTTCTTTATATTTAGTACGTTTTATATTCTCTAAGAGATCATTGCCTACTTCAAAGTCTCAAAGATATTCTGTTTTTTACCCAAAGTATTATCGTTTTAGGTTTATGTTTAGGCTTATGGGTTATCTCAAACTAATTTTTGTGTGTAGTGTTAAGTAGTGGTCAGAGGTTCATTTTTTCCCCATATGTTTATCCGCTTGTTCCAGCAACATTTGTTAAAAAGACTCTCATTTCTCCATTGAATTGTCAGAGCACCTTGATTGAAGATTAATTGATATATATCACAGTACATTTACAATTACGCTATAAATAAATATAAAAATAATAACCAGATAATCCTCAGATGTTTGGAAATTGAACAGTACACAACTACATAACCCATGGGTCAAAAAAGAAATAACAATGGAAATTAGAAAAATATTTTTACTGAAATAATAATAAAATGATGACAAATAAAAAATTGTATAATGTAGCTCAAGCTATATTAGAAAAGAAGGTTGGAAATCATTCATTTATGTATCTATCTCAAGAAATTAGGAAAAAAGAAAAAAGGAAACCCAAGAAAGGAGGATGAAAATAATAAAAATAAGAGCAGAAATAAATGAAATCAAAACAGTCATAAATAGAGAAAAATCAACGAAGCCAAAAAGTTGGTTCTTTGAAAAAGATTAATAAAATTGATAAAACTCTACCAGGCCCTTAGAAAGCAGAGCCAAAGCTTCACATCTCATAATTTCCCAGTTTTACCCTGTGTAAGCAAAGGCTTTGCTATCATTCTAATTATCAGAGAAACCCCTACCTTTGAGTATTAAGACAGGCTCTTGTCTTGCTTGCATTAGGCCACAGGAACCATCCTACTTTCCTTACTTTCGTAGCACGGATGACCAACTCTTATTACCAAGGATTCTTCTCTCCATAACACCAACTTCACACAGGTTGTGTCCTTAGTTCTCTTGTTGTTTCCAAACAGAAGCACACAAGTTTGTAAGAGTTTTGCTGTTCTTCTTTACAGAGAATGACAGAAGTAAACATGAAAACATTGTGAAGGTTCCAGAATCTCTAATATGGGCTCTTTGCTTTTTTTTTTTTTTTTTTTTTTTTTAAATACTCCACATAATAAAGTTAAAACAATGTTGATATAATATAGGACAGGACATCAGCTCTCAAAATGTGAGACTGTCAATAAGACTATGAGAAATATGAATTTTTATCCACTATTATTAATAGGAGGACTGGTGGTACAAACGGTTAACTGCTCGGCTGCTAACCAAAGATTGGTGGTTCAAACCCACCTAGCAACTCCATGGGAGAAAGACCTTGGGATCTACTTCCATAAAGATCACAGCCAAGAAAACCCTATGGGGTAGTTCTACTCTGTCACATAGGGTCACTGTGAGTTAGAATCAACTCAATGGGCACCCAGCACCAACATATTAGGAGTGAACTCCATCCTAAGCATATGTTGTGACTTAAAAGAGCAGCAAATAACAGGATAAAGCAATGTGATTAGCAGGACATTTAAAACGTAAGCCTTCAGAATGTGAATGCAAATCTCCCCAGATTTTTCATGATGTTGCGTCATTGTGATACTCAATCCAATACTTGGTATTTTCAAGCAAAAGACAAAAAGCTACATACAATCAGTGAAATATTTGTTCTCCCTGCCACCATAAAAATGATTTAAATTATACACAAAAAATCAGCCACTGCATTAATAATATATCGATAAATAATGCACAATTAAAAATCTGATAATCAACCAAAACTTGTTCCTTAGTCAGAAAATACCATTTTCATAGTAAAAAAAAAAAAAGTTGTAGATTTGAGAAAATAAATATTAAAAAATTACTCAATATGTAAAATTTATCATACCATTGGATGAAAGTACAAATATTTCTATTCTATTTGAATAATGAACTTTTTTGCAAGCCACTAAATAAAGAAGTATAGCAGAAGAGATAAATGTTCTAATAATAAATGACTTCTCTAATAAAAACAATATTTTATGGAGGACCTATACACACTGATAGTCCCTGGGTGGTTCAAATAGTTTAAGCATTTGGTTACTAACTGTAAGGTTGAAGATTTGAGTCCACTCAGAGTTGCCTTGGAAGAAAGGCCTGGCAATCTACAGAAAAATCAGCCACTGAAAACCATATGGAGCACAGTTCTACTCTGACACACACATGGGGGCCACATGAGTTGGGGTCAACTCAACGGCAACTGTTTTTTATACACACTGATGGAGTGACTGCTTTGCCTAGAGTGAAAAAGGGTCTCAGGCTTTCACTGCATCATTCATAGGCAAGCTAGCATAGAAAAGAAGTTGAAACTGGAAGAGGATAAACTGCTACAGAATGTCATTGACATAATTAATTTAGAAAAATCATTACAAAGCTTTGTAGTAAAATGGGAAGTGATCATTAAAATCTTTTATATGACACAGTGGTTCCTTGGTTATTTCATGCCAAAGCACAGAAAACAGTTAGCAATTTTTAAGATTTTTCACATTTTTTCTTTTGCAAACAGACAAATTTTTAAAATACCCTGGCCATTTCAGTAAGGACAATTGACTGTCAGTTGTGTGCTTGATAACAGATATTTTTGGCTGAAAAAAAAAAAAACACATTTATTCACTGAAAAAAATATATTTTCTAAATACAAATAGTATAGATAGTTGTTATTTACTTTCCCAATAATGTTGATTCTTCAACACTGAGTGATAAAGTAATTGCTTTTCAAAGAAACTTATTCTAAGGATAGAATATTTTGAAAATGGGTTTTGGGGAAAGTTTCCATCATTATATGATTTTGTTGTTGCTTAAAACAATGTAAATCATCACTTTTTGGAGTTATCCTTGAATTCTCTCTTCTCTCATTTCCCACAATTAATTGTCAGCAAATTTTGTTGCATCTACCTTCAACATATATCAAGAATGCAACCACTTCTCATCACCTACAATGCTACCATGCTGGTCCCAGCCATTATCATCTCATTTCTAGATTATAGCAACAGCTTCCTAATTGATTTCCCTGCTTGTACTTCTCCCCGAACCCTCTCGCTCCACCACTGCCCTCAGCAGCTAGTGTCACTTTATTAATACCTAAGTCAGATCATGCCATTCATCTGCTCAAAGCCCTCCAGTGGTTTCTCACGTCATTCAGAGTAAAAGTCAAATTCCTTACAGTGCCCACCAGCGGCTCCAAGGGAGAAAGATACGGTAGTCTGCTTCCATAGAGATTTAGAGCCTCAGAAACCCTATGGGGCCACTATGAGTCAGAATCAACTCCACAGCAGTAGGTTTTTGGGTTAATGTATTTTCCCTTTATTTGTTTATCTGCTATTGTCTATCTCCACTCACCACCGAAGGCAGGCAGGAATTTCTGTCTGTTGTGTGTTCACTACGGTATCTTCAAAGTCTAGAACAATGCTTTGCAATAATACTTGAATATTTAAATTCTGAAAGAATGAATAATCTATTAAAACCTTCGTATCTACACACCTAAAAATCTTAGAAACATTATTTTTTATATTTTTCAAATGAAGAGTTTCAGGAGGTTTTGACTCTTTGTTAAAAATATAAAAATGCAACACCTTTCTATTAATTTGCAATAACTGAATGACATATAGGCAGATAAAATTTAGTAGCTGAATTTAACCAAAAGCCTTCATATAACTGAAAACACATATATCATGATTTACTAAGTACAGCCAAAGATGTCCTTCTTCTGTTTGGATCAACAACTCTTTGTGAGTTATTTTTTTCAACTCTTTACTTCCTGTTAGTGGCAACTGAAAACTAAGTTTAAATGCTAAGTCATAGAGCAGAACTTTCTAAAGGACCCCCCCCCCCCGATAATTTACCAACTGCCAAAATGGACTCATTCTCTGTCCTAAAGGAGTCTCCTTTCATAGGGCTCAAGGACTTGAGGCATTCAAGAGCAGTGGTAATATCTATGCTTCTTAGACCTTAGAAGCTAGCTCAAATCTCAGGAAGTTTACAATTTTCATCAGCAACTTGTTTGGCACTAATTATTCACTGTTAACCCAAATTTATTAGTGAAATACATCTCATTCTAAAGGAAACAACAACTTTATATACTTGTGTATATGGTTCCATATCTAAAATCTGGTATTTCTTTCATTAAATTTATTCTCACTGAGACAAACGAGGCTTAGTGAAGCTCCAAACAAACATATTTTATGACTAGAAGCAAGGTTTTAGCAAAACTAAACTAGCTTCATGGAGGCTGTTATGGATTGAATTGTGTTCCCAAAAAATATGTGTTGTAAATCCTAACCTCTACTCTAGTGGTTATAATCCCATTTGGGAATGGGTTGTCTTTGTTATGTGAATGAGGCAGGACGGGTGTCTTGAGTCAATCTCTTTTGAGATATAAAAGAGATGAAACAAGCAAGCGAGAAGCAGAGATGAGGGAAGAGAGATGCTAAACCACACAAAGATTGCCCAGAAGCAGAAGGTAAAAGAGACAAGGATCTTCCTCCAGAGTTAACAGAGAGAAAGCCTTCCCCTAGAGCCAGTGCCCTGAAAACTAGCCTCCTTAACTGTGAGAAAATACAATTCTGTTTGTGAAAGCCACCCATTTATGGTATTTCTGCTACAGCAGCACTAGATAACTAAGACAGAAGCCCATCTACTGATGTGCTAAGAGTAAGCTGCCCTTATTTTAAGTCCTTGTCCAACAGTCATGAAGATGAGGTGTTAGAACCACATCTCTAGGATTCATTTACTTCTGCAAGTCATGATGCCCGTGACCTGGCACTTGAGAATAGATGGTAACAGAGAAACTACAGCTGAATTACTCTGAAGGTTTCTGCCTGGAAGTAGTTAGTAAGTGTTCTGCTAGTCATGGAAGCTATAAAGAAACAAAAAATTTCAAGTTGTTGGTATTAGTCGCTGCCTAGTTGACTCCAACTCACGGTGACCTTATGTATAACAGCATGAAACATTGTCTAATCCTGCACTATCTTCATGATTGTTGGTACGCTTGGATCCATGGTTGTGCCTATTGTGTCAGTCTATTTCACCGGGCAAATCTGCTGCAAAAATCTCCTTAAAGTGTTAAAAAGTAAAGATGTCACTTTAAGGACTAAGGTGTGCCTGACCCATGCCATGGTGTTTTCAATCGCCTCATATGCATGTGAAAGCTGGACAATGAATAAGAAAGACCAAAGAAAAATTGATGGCTTTGGATTATGGTGTTGGCAAAGAATACTGAATACACCATGGACTGCTGGAAGAACAAACAAATCTATTTTGGAAGAAGTACAGCCAGAATGCTCCTTAGAAGCCAGGATGGTAAGACTACGTCTCATATACTTTGGGCATGTTATCAGGAGGGACCAGTCCCTAGAGAAGGACGTCATGCTTGGTAGAGGGTCAGCGAAAAAGAGGAAGACCCTCAAGAGATGGATTGACACAGTGGCTGCAACAATGGGCTCAAGCATAACAATGATTGTGAGCACGGCGCAGGACCGGGCAGTGTTTCATTCTGTTGTGCATAGGATCGCTATGAATTGGAATTGACTCGACGGCACCTAACAACACCCACCACTGTGATTCATAAGGAGTCCTGGTCGTGCAATGGTTAAGCGCTCAGCTGCTAACCAAAAGGTTGGTATTCTGAATCCACCAGTGACTCTGCTGGTGATCTGCCCCCATAAAGATTGTTGTTGTTGTTGTTAAGTGCTCTGGAGTCAATTCCTACTCATAGCAACCCCACAAGACAGAGCAGAGCAGAGCTGTCCCACATGGTTTCCAAAGCTGTGATCTTTTCGGAGCAGCTAGTGGGTTTAAACTGCCGACCTCTTGGTTAGCAGCCAAGCGCTTAACCACTGCAAAACCAGGGCTCCCTCCCATAAAGATTACAACCTAGGAAACCCTATGGTGGCAGTTGTCGTCTGTCACATAGAGTTGCTGTGAGTTGGAATCAACTCAACAGCACCCAGCAATAACAACTGTGATTCCTGATTACCCATTCCAACAGAGAAACATCAAATGCATAATCCCTACCAAGAGCCTGCAGGAAATCCCACCCTTTAGAGCTAAGTCAATTCTACCATGAACTTTTACTTCACTCAAACCAGAAAGCATGTGACAGGCAGGGAGTGACAAGCCAAGAAATGAGGGGTCCTCTGTGTTTGTAATGCTGGCATCAGGATGTTATTATATTACAGAGGGTGGAGGAGGAAGAGCAGTAGGGAAAAAGCAGCGTTTTTTGTTCTGCTGTTCAGTGAAAGTACAAACAGAACCTGACCATCATACAAAAAACTCATTCAATTCTTTGCAGTCAAGTAGCTCACCAGATAAATACCTCTGCTGGTTATTTCAACTACAGATGAGTGAACTGATCTGCTACTTTATTTTCAACTTCTCAAAGGCACCTCTTCACAGGTACATCTTAGGAAATAAACTGTTTCTCCTTGATACTTGGCTGGAAAACAAACAGCCATGAATTTCCTACATTCTTAGAAGAAAATCTAGGGTTCAGGCATGAAAGGATATGCCTGGTATGTGGCCATGAACCTGTTTACCAGGTGTGCAAGGTAGAGTTTTAAGACAGAAGGCCAAAATCGTCTCCCTTTTTTTTTTTTTTTAATTGTACTTCAGGTGAAGGCTTATAGAACAAATAGTTTCTCATGAAACAGCAGTACACATATTGTTTTATGACATTGGTTAACAACCCCACAACATGTCAACCCTCTAACTTCTCAACC